ATATTATTAACATGTTAATTATAATTAAGGAACAATATGGTAAAATGCAGAATTTTAAAAAAATCAAACGCAGTACAAACATTAAACAAAAAAAACAGAATGAAATAATGACCAACACAAGTGAACAAAATTCAGATGATGAAGAAATCAATGTATGTACAACATTATTATTATTTTTAGCTTACTTTCATTAATCATCACGAAGTATTGTAATCTTATTAATCACAATTTAGGAACTTTATGCTAAAATGAAGAATTTAAAAAAAATCAAAAATAATATAAATGGTAAACAAAAAAAACAAAAAATAATAATGAGTACAAGCAACCAAAATTCGGATGATGAAGAAATCGATGTATGTATACATTTATTATTATTGTTATATTATTATTATTTTATAATTTAATTGTATTAAACATCTTTAAGTTGAAAACATGATAATATAAATTTAGGAACATTACGGTAATCGAAAAAATCAAATACAGAATTTAAAAAATCACTTTCATTAATTATCACGAAGTAAAATATCTTTCGGTGTTAAAACACTAGCATGAATAACGCCCCGTTGTGCTGCTTTTACAATTTCTCCTAATAAATCTACTTCAAATAATACCTGACTTATCATTAAATTAAATAATATTATTTGTTGTTCCACTAATTGTTCTAACTCTATATCCATTATTAATTCATTCATATTTTTTAATTGATTTTTTATTTTTCCAAAATTTTCATGTAATAATATTTTTTCTTTACTTATATTGAAAAATGTATTATTATAAAGTTCTACATTTGACTTAACTGCATAAATTTGTTCTTTTATAATACTTAATACTTTATAATTACTTGAATGTAATTCCGAAATTTGAGTAGAAAATTTATCCGCATTTTCCTCTGTTAGAGTACCATATAATTGTTTATACATATCCCCAACAAAATTGAACCAACCCCTTTTTTTTTCGTGATGTGGGTGTAGTTCCTAACATAAGAAAATATTGATTTTTCCTTTTTTCTACTTCTTCTAGTAATGAGTTTATTGTAGTATTCACATCATTACACTTAGCATTTTTTAATACTTCTGTTACGTTCCAGCATACTACCTCAATTAATGAAAAACATTGTTTTAACGTAGTTATTCTTAAATCATAATTAGTTAAATTTACCGAAGTTATTATATTCCAATTTATATTTGTTAATTTTAATTTTAATTCATTCTCGTAATATAAACCTGAAGTATTTGGTACTTGAGACATATTGTACGTACTGTCTGCCAATATGATATCTAATATTAATGAAGTTGTAAAAACTAACCTAAATAACAAACAAAATTCTAATTTAATATTTACTCATCAAATGCTTCCACATTGTTAATGTGAACACGTACATTTTTATTGTTTTTTCGTATTGTTATGTTCTCATTGCCATGCCACTCTACTAACTCATATGGGCCTTCCCATTTAGATGCTAATTTATTTTTCATTTGATTATTCTTAAGTAATATTTTTTTAAATGATCCTTTAGTTAATGGATTCATCGTTTTATCGTAATTATCTTTGCTTTTATTTTTAGTTATTATTATAGTGTCACGTGCCACCTCGTAACACTCCTGCATTCATCGTTTCATCATGAATGAATAGTCGTCATAATTGTATTGCGGTTCTACCGATTTCGAAAATGAATTTGGAATTCGCGGCGGATAACCATATATTAGTTCAAACGGTGTAGAGTTTGTGCTAGTATGAATCGACGTGTCATATGTATACATAGCATATGATATTAACTCATCAAAATCGTTTAACTTTTTATTTACAAAACTCCTTAAACCCTAAGCTAATAACCATGATGTTGATGCTGTCACAATAAAAAAAAAAAAAACTCCTTAAATATTCCTTTAGCGTCCTGTGTGACCTTTCCAATGCCCCGTTCCCCTCCGGGTGGTATGCCGTAATGTGAATTTTTTTCACCTGTAGTAATTTGCACACGTTAGCAAACACTTTACTCATACAATTTTGCCCTTGATCGGTTAGTATGGAACTCGGTATCCCGTATGTACAATTCACCTGTTCTACGAAATGTTTTGAAATAGTATTCGCATCCGTTGTTTCTAAGGGTATCGCTAAACTAAATTTGGTTAAATCATCTTGAATGGTTAACAAATACTCCTTGTTATTAATCGTTTTTAATAATGGTCCTACTATATCCATGAATATTTTTTCAAACGGCCTCGTAGCCGTTGTTGTAATTATTAACGGTTGCTTAGTTTTCCTATTACTTTCTTTATTTTTTTGACACAATTCACAATTCTTTATATATTTTTTACTTCCGATTTTAACCCCTTCCAATTAAAGTTTAATTTAATTCTTTTAACTTTGCGGGCTATCCCTAAATGTCCACCTAATTTATTCTCATGAAATTCCTGAATAATTTGTAATTTTTCCTGGCTTGGAAACGTTTGTTTATAGTCCGTATAATCTAAAAAAATTTGTATCTTTATAACTGTGTCGTGAAAAATCATTTTTATCATTGCCGTAACGATTTCAAAATTTAGGTTATACGTGGAATTGCTAATTTTTCTATATCATACTCCACACAAAATACTTTTACCTTTAATAAGATTTCAAATAATTGTTCATAACTTGGCACTAATGGGTATTTCTCTGCAATAATGAAAAAAAATATCTTTCTATCTTCACAACCACTTATTTTTCTAATTTGCCCTATTTCATGTTTCTTTTGTTTCTCCTCCTGAATATTAAATTGTTTTGCCATGTATGAAAAATCCATAGCTAATTTACCTCTAATAGATAAATCCCCTGTTAATGGTAACCCCTATGTGGTAATCCTCACCCGCTTATAATAGTGTCCCTTTTACTTCTTCTATGATTTTATTCATAATTATTCATAACGCTTGATTAAAATTATTGCACGTTATTTCCTCCTCATTAGCTGCTATTAGTATTCGACTCAATGCATCAGCATTTTGATTTTCCGTTCCTTTTTTATAAACTATCTCATAGTCATACTCCTCTAATTTTAGTCTCCAACGAATTAATCTCGAACAGGGTCTTTGACATTAAACAGGCAGGTTAATGGTTTGTGATCTGTCACTAGTCACTACCCCGAATTTAGCACCCCATAAATAAGGGCGAAAGTGTTTTACACTCCACACTATTGCTAGACACTCTCTTTCCGTAGTACTATACCGCTGTTCGGCGCTATTAAATACTCGAGACGCATGTGCAAGGGACATCTCTCCCAGCACTCATTTGTGAAAGTACTGACCCAATTGCCTGTCTTGAAGCATCACACGTTAATATAAACATTTCCACAAAATTTGGGTACTATAGTATAGGTTCACTCGTTAATATTTCTTTCATGGTACTAAATGCTTTCTGACACATGTCACTCCATACAAACACTACATCCTTTTTTAATAATGCCGTCAAAGGTTTTGCTATTTGACTATAATTCTTAATAAATGTTTAACTATAATTCTTATAACATGCCCCAAATATGTCACCTCCTTCCTTAAAAATTCACATTTAGACGGTTGAATTTTTAAATTATGTTTGCGTAATCTACTTAACTTTTTTTCTAATTTTTCGTTATGGTTCCTTAGATCTGGTGCAAATATTATTATATCTTCTAGGTTACTTTACGTACTTACATTTCCCCAATTCGTCCAAAATTTCCGTTATCTGCGGTAAGGGAAATACATCGCCTACCGTTACTTCATTTAATTTTCTAAAATCTACACTTACTCTATACTTTTTTCCTCCTGATAATCCCTCTTTTTTTAGATATAACTTTTAACAGTGCATTCCAAGCCGAATTGGCTTCGCTCCGGGTAACCTATATGGTTTTACGTTTATCGGTGTAATTCCGTCTGGGACTGGTATTGAATGCTTAATTGATTTCGTTGTCGATAGTTTATTCCCCTCTAACAAAAATAAATCTGCATATTTAAAACACATTTTGTATATAGTTTATTTTTCTTCTGTATTTAAATGATCTACTCTTAACGCGTCTAACAGTAAGTCGAACCTATTTTTCTCGTTGCTGCATATTAACACCTGTTCACAGTCCTCGTATTCTTCATACTCCAATTTATTTAATTCCAATTCATTTATTTCTTGCCACTCGTCCGAATAATTTAACACTATTCCTTTCATATATTCTTTTTCTACTTTGCCTATTGTACTACCAATTATCACGTTCTCATTAATCCGTTGGCTTTGAATCACCAAACACTTGTTTTGTAAAAACGTATTCACTCGTATAGGTACTATCGTTTGCGCGCGTGGTGGAATGTTAATTTTGCTGTCCGGTACTACTAACACGTCCTCTTTAGGTCAATGCACATTTTATATTCCTTCAATAATTTTTTTCCCATTATACAGTCTACATAAATCGGAAAGTCATCAAATACTATTTCGAATTCTGATGATAGTTTTACGTCACCTGCTATTAAATCTAATGTTGTTCTACCTAATGTTAAAACTGCTGTCGCATTTATACCTCTTAGTTGTACTGTCTTACTTGTTAACATTCTCACTTCTCCCTTCAATTTCGAAAATTTAATCAAATTTAAATCAGCACCACTATCCACTAAAAATTCTCCGACAATATTTTTTAACAACATCACACTTAACACATTCGTTTTTCATTTCAATTATTTTTAACACTCACGCTTGGTACTCACTGACTGTTAATGAGTTCACTACCGGTGCATTACTTCCACTACTGTTACTACTATTTTTACCTTGGTACCTATTTCTATTTTTTATTTTATAACAGTTTGCCATTACTTGTCCTGGTTTCTTACAATAATATCACGTTATTTTCGCTTGATCTTCCTACTTCTTTTTATCACTTTCCCTATTTATCTTCTCGTAACTTTTATTCTTTCCTTGTTCTGTATTCCTACTATAACACTTGAAACTCTTATGTCCTATTTTATTACACTTAAAACACTTAACACCGGATTTTACTCCTTTGTCGCTATTTACAAACAATTTCCTATTATGTTCCTAACGCTTTTTCCTCTTCCAATGCTACCTGGTATGCTTCTCTTAGTGTATTTTTTACTCTGAGACTTTACTAATATATTATACGGTTCTCTCAGTCCTGCTACAAATATATTTAATGCTTGCTTTTTCACTATTTTGTTTATCACTGTCTCTTTCGTTTTTTTCGGATTCTCTAATACAATTGCCTCTATTAATTGAAAACAAATACCTTCGACCTTTTCATAATATGCTTTTATTCCATCATTCTTAGCTTGTACGCGTGCTGCTAATTCTAATTGCAACTGACTCACTGTTTGATATATTCCATAATTCTCCGTTAGTATGGCTTTTAATTCCTCAAACGTACCAATGGTTTTAAATCTAGTTACTTTATCGGCCCTACCTGATAATTTTGCCAATATCCCTTCTAGAATTAATGGTTGAAGAGTATCTACGACATTATTCAAAACATATTCACAAGATTTAATAAAACTGTCCAATTCGCTTTCCTCTCCCCCGTACCTTGGTATAAATTTAATCCCTGATTCATAAGTTAATTTGGGAATAGTCATTTCTACTACTTAAATTTAAAATAATGCTTCCTACTGATAATTACTATCGCTAGTATTAAACACTCAAAGTACATACTCTCGTCGTCTCTAATATCCCACTTCCAGACTTAGTCAATGACTTTCATATTTATGCTAAGTGGAGTCACCTTGTTATGATGCTCTCCGTACAATCTAGAGGTGTTCTATCATTAGCTTACACCTTTGATCTTTATACAAGCTTTCCTATAATATGCTATTATAGCAAAGTCATTGAATGTCAATTACTACAAATACACACATACAATATTATTTGATAAATTAATAATATATATTATCACATTCATCCATCCTTAAAATGAAATTTTATTTGAACAATCAGAAAACTTATTTACTATAAATAAATTCTATTACAATTATAATTTCATACAAGTACGATACTTAAAACTAATTTAAACTTCAGTTACTTTAATAGTATCAAAATGTACAAGATTATAATCACGTACAGGTACCGTAGGTTGTGTTGTACAATATTTTTTAATCATGCTACAACTAATTAAAATTATAAAAAGAATTTTAATGCTATAAATTACATAGTTATAATTTCTATGTACTTCATGCACAGATTGTTTTGTTATCTGATAATCAATATATCTATTTATGTCATCTAAAGAACTAGATATAGAATTCAAACCATGTAGTTTTTCAATTTTACCGATATTTCTAAATTTAGGTTTATTAAATGTAATATCATTTTCTTAATTTTGGTCACCAATGATTATTTTGGTTTCCGGTATCATATCCATTAATTTTGAATTTCGTTCTGTTGTAACAGGGTATAATATATTCTGATTTGCATACCCTTTACATTGGTCACTTAAAGATAATAATCCCGTTCCTACATGTTCTATGTTTTCCGTTTTTCATCTACTCCACAAGTTAGTACTACATTTTCTTTATCTACAGTGTAAATCCACCTATTTTTAAACTCTAGTTTATGAAATATGCTTAAATATAATTCGAAGTAAAGGTACATACAGATTTTCGTGTTTTCTTTTTGTTTTGTAAGTTCTTTGAATGTACAGGTTGTATGGCATAATAGATAAAATAATTATTTATTTGTTTACACGTATTTCATTGCTGCGGTGTAAAGGTCGTAAAGTACTCATTCGATGGACTTATCGCTATATAATCATATTTATTTTTTAGTTACGCGAACTGTTTATTATTAATTTTGATCGGCATAGGAATAATATTATACAAATTAAAATTTTGTTGATCTACTAAAGGTATTTTAATATTAAACATTAATAATTGATTTTGATAAACCACACTCACTTCCGATAATTGATACAAATTATATGGTTCAATATTATCTATATCAATTGGTAGTGATGTACCTTTAGGAAGAGGTAATTTAATTTCTTACATACTTTCGTGTAATGCCTCAATTGATAAAACTCCCGAATGTATTTGACCTGCCCTTGCCAGATTTATCATTTCCGAAATATAATTAGTCTCGGATGCATGCTGACTTAATAATAAATTTAATAACAAATACGAATCTTGTATTAAATTAACACGGTTTTTAACTTTTGATCCATTAATTCAACTAATTAATAAAAATATCGAAAAAGGGCTTCTTACGATTGTTAAAAAAATTCTTCTCTACAATTTTTATAATAGGTAGTTTTGCTTTAAACCGATTCAATAAGCCGTATTACTTGAATTATCGAACTATTTGGGTATGATAAAAAAACTAATTATTACGATATCGGAATAATTAATAATAATATAAGAAAAAGATCTAAATTAAATTCCATTGTAAAAATTATTACAAATTAAATGTCATATAATAATTATATTATAATCGTTTTAATGAATAAATTATTATTACAATAATTAAAATATGAACTATGGAGTCAGAATAATTATTTTAAAAAAAAAAACAAAATTAATTCAAATGTTATAAAATTTATTGTAAGTATTGTACACAAATTAAAAATATTTAATTATTACGATTTATGAACGAAATTTCATATTGTAATCATTTATTATATAATTAGTAACTGTACAAATAACTATAATTTATTATATAAATATTAACATATTAAATACAAATAAATCATAATTTAAATTCCTAATACTTATATTTAATAAATGCGTAGATAAAATAAAATATGTATTCTTAAAAAATAAAGTATAACAACTACTATTAGTATGAAAAAATGTATAAGAAAGAGATTTAAATTGACATGTATAAAATGTAGTTATAAATTACAAAGTAAAGTTTATTGTTTTGGTGGAGCAATGGGCACAGGACAATAACCTAAATTATATTTTCCAAAGCTGAAATATTTTTTTTATTTTTTTTTTAATAGGTACAGAATTTTATACTCGCGTATAATATTATAATAACAGCTATTGTAATGATTAAATATTTGTTTGTATATACAAATTCATACGTCTTATTTAATAATATTGAATTTAGTAATTCATCTTGTATATTTAACTTGAATAACTTAAATAATTTGTATAAAAGCTTCTTTGTCGAATTTTAATTTTTTTATTTCATCTAAATGAATGGGTTTTGGATATCATTGATTAAGTGTAATATTGCAACATGAATCATTTAAAATACTTAAATCTAAAGGTAGTGTTGCAAAAGACGATTCTACTGTTTGCTCTGTTATTGATACTTCTTTAGTAGTATGAGCTTGACACCCACCCACCTTTCAGGAATAATTTTCCAGAACTTTTCAATGCAATTTTACGAATAAAAGATCGATTATTACAAATTATTGTAATTGTTATAGGCTTTTCACACTCAAAGTACCAATTATTTTTGAAAAACGATGGGTACCATAATTCTTTTTTAAATTCCGTGATATAAGTATCACATTGCGTAGGTTTAGTTAAAGCATTTTTTAATATTTCTGTTACACAAGTAGGATCAGTATCACTATTGTGTAACATTTCATTGAAACCGCAAACAAAAATTGAAAAATGTCGGCAACTATTAAACAGTTATTGATATTTGACCAAATAAAATATTTTGTCACCACATCATCTGTTAATAAATACGTTGGATTTTCAGCGATATGTATAAATTGTCCGTGTTCATTAATTGGAACGTATATTGGTATAATATAATACAATTTGAAAATTTCGCCGATACATAGTGGAATTTTTATTGAAAATATTATTCTATCGTTCATTGGGTGAAGGTCTATATGTAATATTTTGTGTATTTCTTGTATATTAGTTTCATTAAATTTGATATTGATTTGTAAATTTTCAGGTAGAATATTTTCTATTTGTTTTATTTCTGACAACAACTGATCTGGTGTAATTATAAAAACATCTAATTTATTTGTTTGAACTTTTGATATCATTATTTGTAACCTCGTTACAAATATATCTAATTCAAATATATTATTTTCAATTAGGGATATTAATCTTAGAACAATAGTTTGATTTTTTTGGTCTACTAATTCAATATTTATGTCGTTAATAGAGGTTACAATTTTTTTAATATTTTTGTCAAATAATAATTTACCGTCATTAAATGTTGTTATGGTTTCATTGAAATTTTCTATTGTGCTCCTTAAAATAGAGACTTAGTCCTGAACTATGTGTATCATATCTCTTTGATCATTCTCTAATTTGTTAATCGAACTATCATACCTCCGTACATCGTCAGCATCGGCAATACCGAACATCCACTGTAGTGCCGAACCTCCAGACTCAAATGATCGCTTAACCTTTTTTCTATACCTAGCCATTTGTCTAATTACCTGTATATCTAAATTTATTATTTTTTTAAATGCTTCTCTAAGTTATTCACAGTTATTTGGAAACTGTCCTTAATTGCATATGTGTTAATTGCATTTAACATATTCCTTATATCACTATGGCTATTTATTAAATATTTTAAATCTATGAATGTATTAATGGTCCAACTACTTTTACACAATTTACCATCCCCTAATATCTCGTACCTTAATCCCGGACTATTGGTGGTTAGAGTAAGGTTGAAAAATGCATTGTCTTGATTTTCATTGGATATACTATGATTGATTAGCAGAAACTGCAATAGCATGGTACGACAAATTACGTTCCAGACATCCATTTTCATTGTAATACTATGAAGAACATTTAATACAATTATAAAATTATTAATAATAGAAAAAAAAAATCAATATGAATTATAATATTGGTACTTACTTTGTTTAGTAGTTTGACGTTATACTATAGGTATTTGACTATATTGTATTGCAACAAGTATATGATAGGTGCAAAAAAATATAAATGTAAATAATAAGTAACTCTATGTTCGTATTTCACATGGCAGTTCTTTGCACAAAAATTACAAGTATCCACAGCAGCTCTGATATAATTACTGTGTTTGTTATAAAATTGGTATTTAAAAATTATAATTATAGCTAGTGTAACTACTCACTGGTAATACTACGACTGACTGACTTTATTAGGGTTCGTGTGTTATCGCGACAATGCTCTGTGTCACATACAAAAACTCTTATTCAGCGATCTGCTTATTCAGTTATCTCCACGGCTTGCACCATCGTACAACACACTATCTATGTTATACATAGATTATTATTGTGTAATTACAATAAATGTTATGACTTTGATTCAGTTCTTTTATGAATATCAGGACACGCTCGTCGAATGTCTTGTTCTAGTTTCATTAGTGTATTTAGTTGATACGTGACGCGCGATTAAGTAGATATAAGTCATATTACGTGACATTGTAATGTGCAAATACAGTAAATATATTATTAACTTTGATCTGTAATTTTTATTGTTTAAACATTTATATACTTACAAAGTTACAAATATGTTTGAAACAAATAATCAACCACATCATTTATATGTATTGACCAATCGGTTAAAAGTTAATTTACGAGAAGCAATACAAATGCTTAAAAATCCGAACAAAGTATCAAACACTGTTGAATGTTCAAAACTTGAGCCACAGCCAGGTAAGTGGTATATTTGTA